ATACCGGGAGAATCCTCCTCGGTTATCTCTATCTCTCCGAGATCGTTCGAAGAGCATTCGGGAGTTACTCTCGGGTAGGACATGCAGATAAGTCGGGACGTTCGCAGAGAGAGAGAAACGTTAATTGTAGATATTTTGTGTATACTTCCAGTATATTTAAGCGATCGAATGGGTCTGTCGGGTCGTTCGCCACGGTGGTAACGACTCGTCCGTGGACTCAGTAAACGAGAAGTTATCTGTTCAATTATTTCACGAAATATTTATTTACGTCCGACTATACTTGTCGCATTGGTTGTCGACCATCCTCAAAATCAAAATTCCTCGACTCTGACTCTGTAGTATAGAGTGGATAGCAACTCTTCATCTTTGAGAGAGTCACGTCGACAAATGACAAGCGATCGCGCTTCCCCAACGATCCTACGTAGCTCGATAAAAACACCGACGCGTTAAACCAAATGTTAGAACAACTAGAACAATCGACCATTGAAACATGAAAATTCCCACTAGAGACATTAAAGTAAATGAGATAGAATCACTTTGTAATGGAACACACAAGCTTTTATTTATACATTTTACAAAAAGTCATTTGAATCAATAAAAATGTACTGCTTCACAACTACAAAATTTCTGACAAATTTCCACTAGAGACATTAAAGTAAAAGAGATGGAATGATTTTATAGTACAATGGAATGCAAGCTTTTATATATACATTTTACGAAAAATCATTTGAATCAATAAAAATGCACTCCTTCACATCTACAAAATTTCTGACGTAAAATTTCCACTAGACGTTAAAGTAAAAGAAATAAAATGACTTTATAGTACAATGGAATGCACAAGCTTTTATTTATACATTCTACGAAAAATCATTTAAATCAATAAAAATGCACTGTTTCACATCTACAAAATTTCTGACGTAAAATTTCCACTAGAGACATTAAAGTAAAAGAGATGGAATGACTTTATAGTACAATGGAATGCACAAGCTTTTATATATACATTCTACGAAAAATCATTTAAATCAATAAAAATGCACTGTTTCTAACAAAAATCATAAATTGATGAT